TTCCATGGAAATTAATAATAGAAAGAGAACTCTAGAAATGTCACCGCAAGATGATTTGCAATATTTTCCACATTTAACTTTTATGTTTATTCACTGAGCTCAGAACAAAACCAGCTGAAAACACAGCATAGCTGTAGAGGGTAGCGGCTAGGGCATGCTCCCAGTAGGCAAAATATTTTGTTTCCAAAGTTCGCTTAACTAGTGTTTTCAGAATTTCAGGCCAAGGAGAACTCCAAGAGATGGAAGACATCAAAAGTCAATGAACTTAGAATATCTACAAGCACATTCAAGATAACAAATGTCCTACTGAATCGGATCAACAGTCCAGTCCCACAGGATGAAAAAAAAAGGAGAAGTGGAAGAGGGCAACTGTGTATCACCAAGGATCAGCTTCACAGAGAAGCCACAGAAGCCAACACTTCCCCATCTGACCTCATTGGAAATAGAGGGAATATTAATGCTTAGTTTGGTGGTTTACCAGTCCTAGCTCTCTATTGTGCCTATCAATCAATTAAAAAAAAAATTGTTTTGCAGCCCTCAGTTTTACATGTAGCATTTTCAGACTCTCCTTATACACAATAAAGTTGCCCACACAAAAGTGACCTGGAAAGACAGCTTTGCAACTGAAGTCCTTATCTCTTTTTTTCCCCAGGTTGTTGGGTTTGTTTTTTGGGTTGCGGTTTGGGCTTGCTGGGGGGTTTTTTGGGGTTCTTTGTTTGGTTTTTGGGGTTTTTTTGGAGGGGGGGTGGGAAGGCATCACACAACAGAAGATGGTTTGGGTTGGGTTTTTTTTCTTTGGGGGGGAGAGGGGTTGTGTATGAGCGCAACGGCATCATGTATGCAATCTGACTGGTAAAAATACAACCATGGCATGCACACACACAGAGACCAACACTAGAACTCGTTTACAAAAATGATTACATTGATTATATCAGCTGTACTCAGGAAAATATTTTTTAAATGCTTATATTCTAGAAAGTAGAACAAACCACATTCTCATCATTGCTCTGGAAGTAACCAGAATGTGAAACCAGATTAAACAGGTTGATACAGTCTGTATAAAACTGTCAATGAAGGCATGTCTCTATTAAAAAATATGCATGACTACTTATCTCTATAGGAGTAGACAGTTGTTGGCACCTTTTAAAGAGGGCTTCATCCAGGCAAGAGATAATGGGCAACTACCTTGTCTAGCATGCTGACTTAAAGTAATTCTAACATAACTCCTTTATCCTTCTCTTCTGCTAAGACAGGTTTTCTGTTCCAAAGCTCATCTTTTGTTCCTTTCAGTTTTAATTCCCGTGAGATTTTTGAAAACTAACAACTTTCTAAGATTACAAAGCTGCACTGAGAGTAAACTGAAGGTTTCATACACGTTATGCTCATGTCTGTAATATTTGCATCCAATAACGCTTCCATGTATTTCAGCAGTTCTTTTGACTTCATAACTTCACAATTAACTGTACCATATGTATCCAGATAGTACAATCACCATTATCACACATCTTAATATCTCGGTAACACTCAGCTTTGAAAAAGGATATCTCAAATGTGAAGTATTGAAAAATACTACAATTTGGGGGGGTTGTGATTTTTTGGTTTTGTTTTTAAACAAAGTGAATTCTTTAGGACAGAAGCTTTATACAGTTTCTACTTGATTGCATACTTTAGACACCACCTAATCCTTACAGAACCATAAAACTGGAAAAATAACCCCACATACTGTAATTGATAATACACTGTATATTTTGCAACAAAGCAAGAAATAAGGGCAGGCTCTTTCCATCTGCTGTTTAATGGAGAAATCACCAAGAGGCACATTCAATCACCCATAGGGCTTCATACAGCTGCAACCTAGGTCACTGTAAAAGTGCAGCACCTCCTGTTAATACCCATCGATTAAGTATAGAGACTAAAAACAAATGTGAAATCAATTTATCAACCATATAATTCTTTGGAAATACACTAAATACATAATGATGTGACTAAAGTCTGCAAACCTCAAGAGTGAGCAGCCCAGTACAAAAGGCAATCTCAGAGGGCCAACACCTATTAACTGCATCATTTTATTTAACAATTAATATTCAGAAAGGTTCTGTGTCTGCAAAGTAGATTAAAATTCAAGCTTTCTTATAACTACAACTATCCAGAAATTTCCGGCAACATTTGCTGTACTAGCAAGGGAGCTGTAAGTAACCTGGAAGCCAGGTTCCTACCAACATTCAGACCTCCCCACAATCTCTTGAACTAAAGGTAGCAAACATTCACAAGGGATCCTTTTTCACCTGTTAAAGTAAGTTTTCCTACAGTACTAATAACTTGCTCTGAAAGCCACAAATGTCTGTCATGCACCCCCCTGCTCTTCTCAATCAGCTTCAAATCAAACTGCATTGCTATTTAATAGCTTCTCAAACTGCCTCTCCCATAAAAAAACAGTAGCACATGCACATTTAGTTGACTCTGCAGTGTTGGCAAATTGTGTCGTATCTGTGGCCACCTGTCAGCATGTTGGCGCAGACTGTGAACATACAGCAGAGCAGCACCCATGCTGCTGAAAAGCTGTTTCTGCTGTGTCCACCCCTGAAATGAAAAACCTTTTAATTCAACAAGATACTTTCTTCCAGCTTCACTGGGATTGCATCAATCCACATCATTTCACACTCTTGAAAATACAGACTTTTTTTAACCATCTGGAATTCACTGGTTCTCTAAATCTTTGGCCAACACTTCAATGAATCTGCCTTTTATTCACATTAAAAAAAAAATATTTATGATATTGCTGGTTCACGAGCCTTATCTTTGACATTTTCACAAGCCTGCCAGTATATGGGTACTTCTTGAAATCTGTCACAACCGTTGCAAATAGACTACATCAAGTGTGCTGTGAATTTTTTTTTGTTCAGACATATATCAGTTCCAAAGTAACAGGTAAGACGTCATACTCCACATCATCTAAAATGATCAGATCTTCTGAAAAGTTTGGCAGATAAAAACATAGTTGTGATTATAGTCACTTTCTCTTACTAGTGACTGCATTCCAGAATCCTACCACTTAGCAGTCTCAAATCTGGAAAGTGCTACAAATCCAGTCCCATTTTTACAGATCAGAAAAAAATCTGCAAATCTCTTTTCTGTTTTTTTGTTTGTTTTGGGGTTTGTTGTTTTGTTTTGGTTTTTTTACCTTTGCATATTGTCTAACAAGCATTTTTATTCTTTGCTCAAGCTCTGGCTCAACTGGCTTTTGAACTCAACAATAGTTTTTTAGCCTTGGGTCAGGCCCATAA